CCCCAAAACCCCAAAACCCCAAAACCCCAAAACCCCATTTGGCAAAAATTATTAAATACTTAGTATTAGGAAAAATAATAAATTATGGAGTGAAACAAATGAGGTCAAGACTCAGCTACCTTACGCTGAGAAATGTGTGACCCACAGCAATACCTATGCCAAAAATGTGACCAAGAAGAGCACAGAATCCTCACATCTGAAGAGAAGACAGCTCTTAAACTTGAGCCAGACCTACTTAAAGAGAATCATGAAAGAATATATGTCTGTGAAGAATGTGAAGAAGAACTTTCGCAAATGCAATGTAGTGAATGTGAACAGTTCTTATGTGAGGTCTGAGACAAGAAGATTCATAATAAAGGTGCAAGAAAATAAGCACAAAAGGATCCCTAAGAACAAACTAGAACCTTTCTTTTTCATGGATCGCAATGATGATGAATATGAAGATTGTGTTCCTTCGTTGATACAACAATCCCTAAATAGTATTATGGACGATCGTGATAACATTTCCAGCGACCAGGAACTTGAGCTTAATTATCTTGACAGTAGCGGAGAGCACTATAAAATAGACACTAATTATTCTATGGGCTATACAAACACATCTTTACCACAAGCCCTTTCTACCAAAAGCTCGGGAGGTTTGAGTTCTGTAAATACGAATAATTCTTTCCTTCCAATTGACAAGAAGAACTATCTAACGCAGCCACTGGCATTGAAGTCATCTAGAAGTGTCAACTGAAAGGATGATTTTGATGCTAGAGCTAGAGGTGAGAGAGGAACAAGGAATAAAATTGATAACTCTTTGAACCCGAATAAATCTTTCACTTCTGGAGGTCAAAGCTACTACTCATTGTTTAACACTAATACTATCACCTTCCATAACGGCAATATTGACACTAGCTTGTACATGGTCAAGAACAAACAGGTAAAAATTCCCCTCTACCAGCCATTTGTGAAGGTAGACAGGAAGCTACCAAGCAAGATTGAGACAAAAATTCTTGAAGTGCAGAAGATTCTACGGGCTTCTGCAGAAGAAGGAATTCTAATGATCGAAAATAAAGAGTTGCTCAAGAAACTTAATAACAACTCACAACTCATAAAGAGCTGTGAGGATTATGGAGTTATTCACACAACCTATCGCCAGTTTAGCACCAAGAAGCAGATCTTTCATAGCTTAAACCTTGACCTAATTTCTCATGAAAGTATTCTCTGGTGTCTCAGAAGTCTCAAGAGAGACGAGATGACACCTAATGAGAAAGCAATCCAAAGTCGAATCAAAGAAGCCTTTTGTTATAAAGTTACAACTTGGCTTTGGGAGCAAATAATGGCAAGCATTTTACTAAAATCTCACCCTGATACCCGTAAAAATCAAGTGAATAAACTAAATTCAAATAATGAAGATCTGAGTTCACAGAAAGAAGATTCTGAGCTAAATGATAGTGACTTTCCAGCACTAGAGACAGAATCAGGACTCCTCTCAAGCGCTCCTGAGGTAAACAAAGCTTCGAGAAATAAGCCCAGAATTAAGGTTGGAGGCACTGAAAGAAGATCTCATTACACAAAGAAGTTCATCAACACTAAGAATGGAAAGAAATTATACTACCAATTCACTGATTGAGCCAGAGAGGATATATTGTTTGAGATCGAAGAAGATTTCAGCACAACAGATAGCAACGTCTCGAACAACCAGCAATCTTCATACATTATCTATCCTGCTGGCGAGACCTGGTATGGATATGATCAGAGTCCTAACGAGAAAGTTGATCAAGAAACATATAGCATTTTTATTGACTTTTTGAAAGAATATTTCACTGACGACCTCCAAAATTTTTGGAACAAATATGATAGCGTTATCAAAAATGAAGGAATTGACCATGAAAACAAGTTGTCAAAATCGAAGAAACACAGGAACTCAACAGAAGCTTCAAACTCTAAAAATTCAGGCTTTATTAGTGCTCTGAATGAGGACAAATACAAAGCTATTCCTGGAGGAAGATATGGATGAGCTCAATTTGCCAAAACCTGAGGACCTCAGGAGTTAAGCAAGTGCTCTCTTGGGAGACTCTCTCAAATGGTTCAGAAAGCAATAAATGAAGAGATCATCAAATATCAGAAAACTTTACTTGTCTGGAGTGAACCATTATGCTCAGATATACCTAATATGTTCAACAGCCAAGAAGAGATTAACCAAAAGAAAAGAGAGATAAATCATAAGCTTGAGTTAATGAAGCAAGCATTGATCAGTATTCTAGTTGCAAATCCAGAGGGAGTCTCATTGGCTCAACTTCCAGCTTATATTAAGAAGAAGTTGCATTTCAACTACTCTCTCCCAGAATTAGGCTTTGCAAAACTAAAAGACTTAATCTTGTCAATGGGAGATGAAATTAAGATTGATAACAAAAGTAATAATCACCCATATGCTGTTCTAATCAATCCAGAAGCTTATCATAAAGGCTATCCGAGCTCTGAAGACTTTCATGCTATACCTAATCAATTCCCAGGTTATGCAAATTATGGAAGACAATCCTCTGACATGAGCATCCCCACCAGGATGATTCATGGGAGTAAAGATTATGAAATGCACAATCATAAGTACAATAACAGTTATTCAATGACGCCGACTAATTATTATCCAATGTTTCCTAATTTCCAGCAGCACAATGAACTAAGGAGGAATCAGTCTTCTTCTTCCTTCCAATCAGCTGATAAATTTAACCCCAATGCTAATGGAAATGATAGTTTTTATGTCCCTCAAGCTACGAGTTTGTATGGGACACAGGTAAACCAGCCCCAGCTCAATATTAGTCACTGTAGGAACAACACTGGGTCTGATATTGGATATGAGAACAACTTTCCAATTTTCTCTGGCAAGCTTAAGCAAAATAATTTATCCCAAGATTATTCCCAGTATCCAAGTTTTAACGGGAAAGTCTGGCAGCCAATAGAAGCAAAGGAAGAGTTGATCGAAGTAAATTCCTCTCTGTTTTTGTCAGAAAATTCCTCCAATTTTGGATTTGATAGATCAAGATCTATCTCTCCAAAACAACACGAGAGAATTGTTTCAAATCTGAACAATCCTAATTTTGGAGGGATTGATCAGAAATTTGTCACTCCAAATTCCATTGCTGAAAGATTCTCTGAAGAGGAAAAGACCGAGACTAAGAGGCAAGGGTCTATAAGTTGTGATTTTAAGGAGGTTACAAACGCAACTGAGGCTCCACAACAGGCGAAGCCTACTGTTCAGAAGCAGATTCACCCTAATACTGCTCATAATCACAGTAAACTAGTGCCTACATCAAAGATTTTCTTGCCTTCAAACAAAAGCAAGGCTCCTCAGAAGCAGGCTGAAACATTTAACCAGGAGATAAAGAGTGTTTCAAGACTAAAGGCCAAGGCTGATCAGAATTAGATGGTTAAATTCTTTATTCCAGTGAATTCGTAATCTCTAAACCTTGCCACTATTCTTACTTTCTACTAACTCTAGTATAGGCATGTTTATACGGATTTGAAAGCATTGGCTACATTCTCAACAAATTCATAATTCCAATAAAATTTTGAAAAAAGGGGTTTTGGGGTTTTGGGGTTTTGGGGTTTTGGGGTTTTGGGG